ATAAGTGTTTTAGAGCTTGGGGTTTTCTGATCTGGGAATATCTGCATAGACTTTACTAGTTGATCATCCCTACCCTACAATCCCAGTACCTGAAACTTGAAAACATTTCAGATTTTGGAGCATTTCGACTTTAAGGATTTTAAAATTACATATGTTCAGTGTTTTTTAGATACCTAAAAAATAATTGTGCAGCATCCATATTGTCTGTTGAGAAAATTCTGTTTCATGTTTTATGAGTAATTTTTCAGTAGGCTTTGGTTGAAATTGTTGTAATTTGATTAATTCTATTTTTGTATGCACAGGTTTAATCTGTTTTTTAAGTTAAAAATCAAGGTTCGTGTATAATTGTCTTTTCCTAAGATTGTAGAAATAGATACCATCAAATAGCCTGGTTCTGTGCAGGACTTTCTCAAAACTAGCAGCAGTTGAGGGGTCGCTTAAGGGCCAGGTAGTTCATGTTGTCCTTATATGGCATTGCCCATGGGAGATATTATTTAGAAGCTTGTTCTGGTTGCAGATCTTTTGCAAGGTGAAGATATGCATATACTTCTGAATTTCCTTTTTCTGTGTGTATTTAGAACTAACCCTTGTGTTGACAGATAAGACGGTATTTCCTACATACATACATACACCAATGCTCAGAAAGAAAAATAGATTATATATAATAAATAACCTAAATTTAGCATATTTTTAAAAACTCTAGAACTATTCTCAAGATTCAGGTAATTTTAAGGAGTGTTTATAGATGAAATATCTATCAGTAAATAGCCCATTATGATATTGCAGGTGGATAGACTTTAATCAAATTTTACTTTATTGAAAATAACATAAGTTAATTCAGTAAACTTTTACAAATAGTTTAGAAAGATTGTGTCACTTAATATAAATAATGAGATAGTTTCCAGAACTATGGGTATTTTATTTGAATGGCCCTTAAACTTAGAGTAACCGGTAGTATAGTGTGTGTAGTATAATGTGTGTGCTGGCATGCATGTATGCCTCCGTGCATATGTATGTGTGTATGACGGATATAGTTGTCCATGCATATGTGTGTGCACTGCTATGCAGAAGCCAGAAGAGGACATTAGATGTCCGCTTTATCTATCTTCAGGCCAGCTGGCCATCAAGCTCCCAGGATCTGCCTGCCTCTGCACCTATACTCCCCTAGGTACTCAGGTTACAGCTCTTACCCACTGTCTTAATGTTGGTTATCATTGCTGTGATGAAACACCATGACCAAAGCAACTTAGGGAGGAAAGGGTTTGTTTGGCTTATGCCCATATCACTGTTCATCATTAAAGGAAGTCAGGGCAGGAACCTAGAGGAGGGAGCCAAAATAGAGGCCATGGAGGGGTATCTGCCTACTGGCTTTTTCCTAATGGCTTACTCAGCCTGCTTTTTAATAGACCCCAGGACCACTTGCCCAAGAGTGACACCACCCACAATGGGCTGGGTCCTCCCCCATCAATCACTATTTAAGAAAATGCTCTACAAGTTTGCCCACAGCCCCATTTTCTTAGACATTTTCTCAATTGAGGCTCCCTCCTCTCTGATGACTCTAACTTATGTCAAGTTGACATAAACTAGCCAATATACCCATTGAGCCACATCTCCAACTCTTGATAGTGTTTAAACTGTGTTTGTTAATAGAACATTAGAAGGTATTGAATGCTTACTATTGATAGGATCCAATTTTTCATTATTTAAAATTATACAAACAAGTAGTAAATTTCATTTAGATAGTATTTGATACCATTGTCAGGACAACAATTAAAATTGCATTAACACTTTTTCTAAGCCTCTAATTGTAGTGAAAACTTCAGTTTCTATCCTCAGATGTTACTTGTATTTTCAAATATACTTTTAATTAACCTGTTCTTTATTCAAGCTGTTAGTGCACTTTCTGAACTATCATGCTCACTAAAACTGAGTGCTAACTGTATACAAGCAAATCTATTTAAAATAAAATTCAGCTCAATCAAAAATCCTCATGCTTTTTTCTCATTCAAGTAATTTTTATTTCTTTCTTTTTTTTTTTGGTTTTTCGAGACAAGGTTTCTCTGTGGTTTTGGAGCCTGTCCTGGAACTAGCTCTTGTAGACCAGGCTGTTCTCGAACTCACAGAGATCCACCTGCCTCTGCCTCCCGAGTGCTGGGATTTGCAGTTTCTTAAAATGTTATCATTTCTCCTGTCCTCTAACCGTTCTCATATCTCTACTTCGCTCCCTTCTATTCATTTAATTATTTTTGTTACATATATGTATAAGTGTATAAATACAACATACTGTGTCTGTTTAGTGTTGTTTATATGTATATGAATTCAGACTCAATCACTTGGTATTAGATAACCAATTAGAGGCACCTCCCTGAGGAAGACTAGTTAGCCACTCTTGGCAGTCATTAGCTGTCTGTACTTCTTCATCTGGGGGTTTGGCCCCATGGCATTTCCCTCATCCATGTTGTCAAGTCAACTGGTATTGTCATTATTCAAGTCTTGCTAAAGCAACCATATTGTTGAGCTTTCTTAGGTATAACATCTGTGTCCTATCTAGAAGATACTATTTTGCAGCAGATCCTGGTCCTGTGGTTCTTAAAATATTTCACTTCCCTCTTCCACAATGTTCCCTGAGCCTTAAGTTATGGGGATTGTACTTTAGATGTATTGGTTGGGGCTGGGCAGCCCATGATCAATTAATTGAGCTCTGCATTTTGACAAGATAATGCTTTTTGTAATGGTCTCTCTCTGCTGCAAAAAAGCTTCTTATCTGTGGGTATAAGGGTTATTTAGAATCCCACTGGATCTTACCTGGAAGCTTTCTCTATGAGGACTAGCTCTTAGAGTACTAGAAAGTACTTTACAAGCTGCCAAGAGAGGGATGTAACCAGTATCTTACCCAGCTGATACCTATGAGCCACAATAATGACCGACATGGCAAGATACCTCTATGGGTGCAATAATGACAAATATTTTGGTAGTAACTCTCTAATTTAACTTAAGGCCTGATCGACAGGAGGGAAATAATTTCTGGTACTGTAACCCTAGCCAATTCTCCAAAGCTAGTGAGATCACATGTTTTAGAGGAGAGCCTACAACTGCCATTTTACTTAAACCAGTGTAACTCCTAACTGCATTCTAATAAATGCTTTTTGACATTGATTTCCCAGCCAGTGGCCTAACTTGAGTCTTAAGAAGTATTCTAGGCTTGCTATGTTGGCACACACCTTTAATACCAGCACTCAGGAGGCAGAGACAGGAGGATCTCTGTGAGTTCAGGGCCAGTTTTGTCTACAGAGCGAGTTCAGGACAGCCAGGGCTACATAGTAAATCTCTGTCTCAAGAAAGTAGCAGTGGTAATATGAGTAGTCATTGTTGTCATCATCAAGGTGCCAAAATAGCTGTGTTGGGAATGTCTTAGACTGCAGAAGCATTCTGACTTTAAAAAAAAATTCACATTCCGTGATATATGAATTCACATATCATAGATTCTTGGGCTTTGTCACGACAGCCTTGTACATTTTCAGACAATGGCATTTGGGTTCTGTGTATAGCAAAAAAAAAATGTACACACACTAGCCAAATTTTTGCAGTTTCCCTAAGGATACCTCCTCTCTAGATTGCAATATCCAATTATCCTTCTGCTCTATTCAGAATGACTGGGAAAAGGCTGATCATGCCCATTTTTAAAAGCAACTTTTCTTCCCCCGTCTTATTTGACCATCTATCTTTATTTCCTTTGTTCATTCAACTACTTGGAAAATATTTATTGATTTCTAACTTGCCAAGCTACACTGACCTAGGAGTCAGTGTTAAGTCCCTTCTCCTTAGAGCTTACTATTTGTTCTTGAACATACATGAAGTTTTCAGTTTGCTCCTTCCAATTTTAACATGCAGATACACAAAGTATTTCACTCAGAAATTTTTCAAAGTGACACTTAGGCACCTAGGTTTAATACACTTTAAACTCTTACCATGTTTGTGTCAGAACTCTTCACGTGTGACCATTAAGTTTAAATTGGTATGTATGTTGTACACTATCATGCGTGCTTTGAATTTTTATAGTGTGTACATAAAGAAAATGATAGTATTTTAGTATTTTACATAAGTGATTTACTCTTATGTGTGGTTTTCTTTCTCACTAAATACTATTTTTTCACTCAGTGCTATTTTTCTATGTGTGTGTCTGTTTTGCATGCATGTATGTCTTTGCACCACATTTGTACCTTGTCCCAGGAGGCCAGGAGAGGGTGTTGGATCCCTGGAAACTGGAGTTCCAGGTGCTTGTGAGCTACCATGTGGGTACTGGGAATCAAGCCAAGGTCTTCTGGAAGAGGAGCCAAGGATTCTTACATTTCTACAGCCCACTCAATACTATTTTTGAAATGTTCCCATTTGATGCATGTGTGTGTACTTTATTGCATTGAAATGTTAAAGGTACTTCATGTGGTAAATAAACCACAGTTTACTTCTTCATGCTTTTCCTGATACATCCTTAATTGTTCCCAGGTATGACAACTGATTATCTTTGTACATATGTTTTTATATATGTATTTGCATGCTTCTGTAAGAGCTGTACCTTGCAGTGGACTTGCTGGGCCATATCATCGCTTGAGCACCCTCTTCCGCTATCAGAATGTGAGGAGGATGAATCACCTATGAATTTGCTTTAAGTCAGTCCCTTTGGCAGGCTATCAAATTCTTAGCTTATATATTTAGTATTTAAATTCTTCCCATTTTTATAGAAGCACTGATAGTGATAGTGGGTAGTGTCACTTTTATTATAATTTTATTAATTCATTTGTTAGCAGAGTTTTAGGCATAAATGAATACAACAGCAAGTGATATACACTTTTGAAGTAACAAACATGTTTTCTGCTTTGTTTTTAAACATACTTAAAATTAGTATCAAGTGCCTAATTTTAGTAACTCTTTAGTGACTTGAAAAACAATGGTGCTTCATTCATTTTGTTGTTAAATCCATGAATTTCCCTTAACTTTATAACCATTGTTAAAGTGTTAGCTTAACAGTAAATTCTGAGAAGATTCTACATATATCTATAAAATCTAAGGATAAATGTAAGCTTTTGCCTTGAACTAGTTTATAATTAAGCAAGTAAAAGATCACTTCTAAAGATCAAGGTTCTGGACATGCTAGAGAGTTTTTCAACAATTTTATCAATCTCAAGGATTGAAGAAGCTGTCTTATACCATTTCATTTTAGCACATTTGCCTCAGTTACCCTTAGTATTGTACTGCGTTTTGGCTGCCGCAGATAGATCATGCAGGGAATATCCTGGCTTAAATTCGGAAGTGCTTTCACTTCTGCTTGCTTCACTTTGAAATCGTCTAAAAAGAAGTTGGCACATGATTTTGCGAATATTGCTGGACATCAGGAAATACATGACTGGGTCTAAGCAGCTGTTGAAAGATGAAAGCACCAGCATGATCTCATTGGTTTTGTGAACGATTTCCTTCCAGTAGCAAGAAGACACATGGAGCTGTGAACAAATGTAGACAAATCGAAAGGCGTGATAAGGCACAAAGCATATGGTAAAAATGAGCAGTACAATGAAGGAGTTCCGGGCCGTTGTAGCATATTTGCCAGAATTCGGAAATTTTGACCTCCTTTTAGAAATTCTCAGTAGATTCTTGCCAATCTTAATATATGAGAGGATTATCAGTAGGAAAATAAGCCAGAACATTACCACAAGAACATAGTTAAAAATTGCTTCTCCCTTTGCATTGTGTCTGTCTCTGTAATGGAAACACATTGTGGAATTGTGCCCTCCCTTCTTCAGCGTCAAAATGATCATAGTTAAAAATCCGGCAAGAGCAACTGTCCATACTATACAGCAAACATAAATACTTTGCTTGGTGGTTATTGCCCTTCTTTGTTGTATAGACCGATTAATTTTTACATAGCGATCCAAACTGATAAACCCAAGCAAAATAATGCTAATGTACATGTTCATGTAAAATAGTGTCCCCACAACTTTGCAAAGGATCACACCTAGTGTCCACTTATTTTGGTTGATGTGATACATTATGCGGAAAGGGAGGCAGAAGATGAGTAGAAGGTCTGCAATGGCCACGTTAAGTAGATAAATTTGAATGGAATTTCTTTTGCGGTGGATGCCCAGAAATACATAGAGGGCAATGATGTTCCCAACCAGTCCCACGATGAAAATGACAGAGTAGAACGTTGTTAACACCGTAGTTAGTAATTTTTCATCCATCGGACAGATAGTAACATTTGGCACTCTTGAGAAATTTTGTGAGGCTTGGTCACTGTAATTAGCTATAAAGTACATTCCATAGGAGGAGCAAGGCCAACTGTCAGTAGTCGTCATTGTTACAACGTGACTTCTCAGTGTCTTCTGTAGCTATCAAACCAGAGTACTAAGTGGCATGCTCTTTATGTGTACTTCTTTATTTCTTCAGTTTCCTATAACAGAATGTCAAACATTGAGTCATTTGCTGTGATAATAGCCTCTACTGTAACACAAAGCATAAATAAGGGTTTCATTTCAGACCTTCTTTGGGACCATTGGCTATCTACATAATGTGTGTAGTAGCATTATTGTATCACAAAACAGCAGTCAATACTGTAGGATCTCTCTAACCTTTTCTGTTTCTACAGCACACAGAGAATTCATTTCATTTATTATATTAAAATAAAGAATTGAACCATATGAGCATCATTTCTTAGCAATATTGTGAATATATCTATATTGGGAATATAGATAGTAAAAAACAGCAGCTCATATTTTTCAAGGATGAATATCAATATCTCCTAAAGGTGTTTATTGCCATGGGTGAGCTGGATCCCCTGCTGTCCCTGCCCAGCTTCAGAAATGCTTCCTGTCCTGCCCCTTCCCTCATAGTTGGCATCCATTCATTTTGACATTCATTGCCATACGATGTATATTTAATATGCTGTAGTGATCTCTCTTTCCACAGTGAGAATAGAAAAAAAAGGACACAAAATTTCTTCCTTCACCTAAGACCAAGATAAGAGTATTAAAAATTACTTATCTATAGAAATGTGCAGTTACCAAAACAGACCAAGTCTGATACCTGCCTCCTTTCATAGACTGTTATAGTCTTTTACAGGACAATACAGTGGTCATATAAAACCAGATCAGATAGCATCAAGTAAACCACTCCCATCCTTGAAGCGTAGAGCAGTAATATAGATGGGAAGTAGTTCGTGGAATCCAAGATTATGAAAGGTTAACTAACTAAAGTTTAATTATGCCTTGAATTATATCCTTTGAGATTGTCACCAGAACTTTCTAGGTATGTCAGTTCTACTTTGTCCCAGCGCTGCTTGCTATTGGACAATTCTCAGGCATGTAACTATTGGGAGCAATTATATATGTAAGGAAAAATCAAGCAGGTCTCCTCACATTCTTTTCTTATAGTAACTGCCCTGTTATTTTGTAAAAATCCCTTTCATGGGCATAACATAAAGATTTTGGGGACAGATGAGATGGCTCAGTAGGGTAAAGGTATGTTCTGCCAAGCCTATTTACCTGAACCTGACCTATGGTACCTACATGGTAGAAGGAGAAAACTGATTCCACAACTGATTCTCTGACATCCAGATGTATGCAATGGCACATTCATGTCACACATACATAAATACGTAATGCATGCATACACACAAATGAATAGATGTAGTGAAATTTTTGAAAAGCAGGGCTTTCAAAATCATATCTAACTTCATAATCAATGGCAAATGATCTTTTCTAAGCTTCTTTGCTCATTTGTAAAAATACAAAGCTTTTATGTGAAACTCTTAACCCTGCTACATAATCACTGTTGAAAATCGTTTGCTTTGAGCCTAGCTTGCCTACCTCAGTGATAGAACACTTGTCTAATATGTGTGCATCCCTGGTCCAGTTCCCAGCACTGAAAAACAAGCCATCTTTAAAAAACTAGGTACCTTGCCAGATGATGATGGCGCACGCCTTTAATCCCAGCACTCAGGAAGCAGAGGCAGTCATAACTCTGTGAGTTTGAGACCAGCCTGGTCTACAAAGCTAGTTCCAGGACAGCCATGGGCTACACAGAGAAACCCTGTCTCAAAAAAAAATCAAAACAAAAAAACTAGGGACCTACTATGATTAGTCTAAACATCTCACATTCATGTAAAGTACTGCTTGTATATTAAGACCAGTATTAGCATATTGGATATTAACAATATTGAGACAGAGACCCTGCTCTCAGTAAGCATTTTTGTAGGGGTGCATGTTCAAACCCTAAGTGCAGTAATAAAGAGTAGTTTGGTGGGTTTGTTTTGTTTTGTTGGTTTTTGTTGTTGTTGTTGTTTTGTTTTGTTTTTTGAGACAAGATTTCTCTTTGTAACCCTGGCTGTCCTGGAACTCACTCTGTAGACCATGCTGGCCTTGAACTCAAAGATCTGCCTGCCTCTGCCTCTGCCTCTGCCTCTGCCTCTGCCTCTGCCTCTGCCTCTGCCTCTGCCTCTGCCTCCTGAGTGTTGGAATAAAACGTATGTAGAACCACTGCCCGGCTAGAAAGAATAGATCTTAATTATGATAATTAATCTCTCCTTGTTGTCATTGTCTTATGATATTATGTATTAAACCTAGAACTTTTTACAAGTAGGCAAATATTCTACCACTGAGCCACATCACACCACAATCATTTTCTTCAGTTTTGCTTCTTTTTTAAATTAAGCATTTTAGTTAGTAAGTATACAAAATGTATTTCACTAAATATAACGTTTTATATGCCATGTACTTTGCTCATATTCACCCCCACCGATTTCCCTTGCCCTTCCTTCCTTTCCCCCTGCTTCCCTCCCTTAATAGTACCCCTCTGCTTTAATGTCATATGGATTGATAATTGAATAGACAGACATTTAACTCTGTAATCTACATGAAAGATAATATACAGTCCTGTTTTTCTTCACCTCATTATTCCTTGTTCCCCCTCCCTTAGACCCATTCTTCTCCCATATTATCCTCCTCCTGATTTTATGTCTTCTACATACTATATTTTTAAATCTAGATTCTTCATATTAGAATAAACATGCAACATTTGTCTTTGCATAATAAATTTCTTGATTTGATGTTATATATATAGAGAAAAATATTTGGAAGAATGTAGCCTCTCTTAAAACTGTATTTGGTTAAGTACAGGCTTTTAATAGAAATTGGTATTCAGCTTTAAATTTTGACAGAGCAAAGGAGTTGGTTCCAAGGAAGAGGAAGTGGCTGGTGAGGAGGAAGTTCTGTTAAGCCATCTTGAGAACTGTCTCCATAATTTAGGACCATGGAGGGAGAACAAAGAAAAACGGAGTGGGAGGAAGGAGTGAAGGAAGAACTGGGGCTTGGCGGCTGTGCCTCAGATGCACAAGACAGATTTCACAATGTTTGTAGAAACATACAGGCCTGATCTGACATCTCAGAATGAAGGGGCAATCTAGGAAGGGTAGCGGGCTTCTGATAGTGCAGTATGCCTTGCCAGTAAGAGAGCTCTTGTGTTGTGTGGTTATACAGGAAACTCTCAGAGGCTCAGGTGGAAACATCCTATCTGTATGCAAAAGGATGCTGAGACTCGGCTGGTATGACTGACAGCTCAGGAAGCTGAAGTGACTTGGAATAGCCATCATAAGTAGTTTTTCTTTCTGATGTATTTTGAACCCCATTAGGATTAAGAACTAAGTCCGTTTTGTTTGCCACTGTGTCCAGGTGTTTAGCACAATAAATATTCCTGAATGAAAGGAGGAATTTGGGAGAAGTAGATATAAAGTGTTCAAAGTATAAGTACTGAAGCTTGAACTGCATTCATGGAAACACAATTCCCTGTGCTATATCAGCAATATAATACAGCCTCCCCCAAAACTAACCCCATCTTTGAAACTCATACTTCTATAGGGTTTTACATGAAAAGTATTTACATATTTTTATTACATGGATTCTTTCCCAGGCTGAAAGTCTGTCCTGTAATAACCATTTTTAAATCAGCCTCAGTGGTATACTTAAGAAATAGAGAGAAGTGGGATTCAAATTATGTCATAGAGATAAGTTGATGGAAATAGGCACATTAACCTATAGATCAGAATGTTTTGCAAGGCAGTGGAGAAGAGGATCTTTTCTTATTCATGTCTGCAGAGAGCAAAGCAAGGACCAGCAATAGAAAGTTCAGAGGCAGATACTGCCTCCTTATGAGTAAATGCTTTTGTAGAATGAAGCAGTCTAGCCTGGAAGGTACTACCAATCTTAGCACTAGGAATTCAAAGCTTCAAGACTCTAAGGAGGGATTCTTAGTGGTACTGAAATATGTTGATGAGCATCCCTGTGAAGGATACCGATGTCTGTCTTCTTCCTGGATACCCTGTATAGTTTATCTGAAATGGGCTTTGTACACTGGTTTCTTTTAAAAGTTCCTGGGAGGTATCCAAAGTGTAGAGTCAAAAATGATTGAGCTAAATGGTCAAATGATTAACTAATCATTATTTATCACTTGCCATGATCCAGATACTGTTTGAACGCATGATAAAATGTCTTTTATATAGTCTTTCTGATAGTACATGAGGTTAAAAAAAAAGGAGTCATAGGTAGGCTCTTTACACATGACCTCAAAGCTTTTAAGTGGAAATGCCCAAAGGACTCAGCTCTGACTCTGACAACCCCTGAACCTCCTCAGGAAACTTCACTCCTATCATAGCTGATCACCATTTCCTTATTAATGCTGAATTCTATAAGTTGGTAGTAGTTTGACATGATCAAACTTTACCACCATCTACTTTGGTTGTTTTAGGAAGAGATTGTACCACCTTGCTGTGCTCCTTTGGAAGAGTTACTAATCTTTCCATTTGTTTGGTCTATAACAGTATGCAAATAAATCCAGGCTTCACAGAATAAAATCATTGATCTGAATTTTCAGACTTATTTCTAGGCCAAAGAACAATAATCAAGTTGTTTCTAGGAAGAGAGTAGCACAATGAACACATCCCTGAAATCGTCTCCTCAGCTCTAATATGCAAATATAATTAATTAATTAATTAGTTAGTTGGTTGGTTAACTATTTAGTAATGGTTGGACAAAAACACTAATAAGTCTTTTGAACTGTGTTAGTGTCAAGTTGAAGAAGAATAAAGCAAAAGTACTGTGTTCAATAGACACAGGAACATGTTATACCATACCAGATAGCAGATAGCCCAGCAGTCAGTGATTTATCAGCCATTTCAAAAATTATATCCTGTCTCAAACTTGGTAACTAACTTCTGTTGCCTTTAAAGTTGAGAACTGGGCTTAATGGCTCATGCATGTCTGTAATCACAGCTTCTTGGGAGTATGAGGCAGGAGAATCACAAGTTCACAGTAATGCTCAAGGCATGAGCCACCACACCCAGAATTAGTTATAATTAATTAAAAATGTTTATTTATATTTCAAAGGCTCCTGTTTGATGTATTAAGAATTTGCCAGAGAAGACAAGAAAAAAAAATGAATGTGCTCTGTTCACATAGTGGACCTGACTTGTAACTCAATCAGTAGTCATTCATTTTTTCTGTTTGCAACCCTGTGTGAGCACTCGTACCCCCCACTACCTCCATGCTATCTTTCCCAGTTTTTCTTCAGTGGCTGCAACCAAGAAAATAGCTTTAAAACATAATTTGGGCATTGTTTCTAACAGTATCACATGCTGAAATACATACCTATCCGCTAATGGACTGATACAAATGACTGAATCTATTCAGGCCATGCTTCAGAAGTTGCAGTAGTTGCTGCATACAGAACAACAGTTGAAAGCATGTTATTTGGGAAATAATGATGTTAGTAACATATTTCATTTTGTTATAAACTTAACTGTCCACTTTTAATTTTAGTTGTTTGAATTAATTCTTTTTTAAAGTACATTGTGCTTTTTTTTTCTTTTCTTGAGTATTCCCTTTATTGAGTTCCCAAAACACAAAACTTAAATTTTAATTGGTCTGATAAGTTCTATAAAATAGTAATAATATAAAAAGTATTTAAGATGGGAAGACAATATAGCTTAGTGAAGTAAAGAGATTAGGTAGACAGTGCGTAGTGCATTACAATTAAGATTACAATGTCTGAAAAAATGACTTACAGTTGATCTAAGTAGAGCTGCAAATCATTATGACACTATACAATGTCATATAAATGATGCAACTGCATTGTTATTAAATATCATATCTAAAAAGACAGAACCTCGTTTGAAAACCAAGCAGAGGTGTTATCCAAGCAGTTTAATGTTGGAAAGTTTTGCAAATATCAAAATAACATTATCAGCATACATTGAGCTTCACTTTGAATGTTCAGATAATCAATATTTAACTGAAACAAAGGCTTATGTATGCAGTTTAAGAATATCAGAGAATACTTACAGTTGAGGCTTTCCTGGAGTAAACAGAGTAAACCCAAAGCTCCTAGACAGGTTGTGACAGCTGGGCTCTTCCATCCGGTGATGGTGCAATTGGCTAGAGTTCTCTTCTTTTTTATATTCGCATGTGGTGCAGTTGTTTTTCCGCTTTTCTTTCTTTTTTCAGTGTAACAGCCCTCGGGCTTCTTTTGAATCTATGAAAAGACCCCACTCTGAGCAACAGCTTCAAGCTGAACTTTAGGAAATTACATCTTCTGTATACGTCCCTTCTAGCTTAAACTAGGGAGTGCTTCAGCCATCCTACAAAATGCCAACAATCCATAAAATACAAGCAGATCCCCTTTCCAAAGAAGTGATGAGGGATTTGCTGTATGGATTTTAGACTACAACCCCTGAACTTCTGTTTCTTATGGATTCATTTTAGAAGTTGCAGTCATGAAATGGTCTTTCTACCCTGAATTATACTAACATTGGTGAGAGATTTTTTTACTCTTCAGTTTTGCTGAAGTTTTATTTGGTCTCTACATTATTTTAGTATACTTTTGTATCTTCTTTTAAGACCCTGGATTTATTTCCTAAAACAACCTTAAAAACTGAGGCCTAGGTGTGATTTGTAGTGTTATTCTCTCTTCATCACAGCAATAAACTTACCTAAGTAAACTGGAGCGGTCTCTCCTATTTCAAGGAAAATATGACGAGGCTCTGCAGCTTCCATTCTGGTCCCAGTCTACTATTTAACCACCACCAATTCATTTGTGTAACTGCTGCCCTGCACTTGAGTGTCATTTCCCCTTTTGGTTGTTGTTAAAGCATAATTGTCAGTCTGCAGCTTTGTTTAAATATTATTTAACTCATTGGGATTCGTCTAACATTTTAAGTATTTCTAGACATATTCTTCTGAATATCATAATCTCAAGAGATAGTTAAGAATCTAATACACAAGACAGTAATTTTACATTGCTAGTTTAAAAATATTTTATAACTCTTACTTCCCCTTGTGAATCTCTGAGAAAGCAGATGCTCACTGCTTTTGTCTGGCAGTATTTTTTTTTCTTGCTGTGGTAAGCGAGACATACCACTGAATTTACCACGTAACCAGTTTTGAGTTTATCATTCAATGGAGCTAAGTGTACTTATATCATCATGCAACAGATCACTGTAACATTTTCATGTTGCAAAATTAAAACTCTAAACCACTATACACTCATTTTCTCTCCCCCTAGTCTCAACATTAGCAACCTTGATTCTGGGATGTTGAGTAGAATCATACGTAAACCTTTTTTGACTGGTTTATTTTAGTTAGCCTATTATCCTTGAGGTTCATCCGTGCTGTAGCATGTAACATAATACTTAAGGCTGTATATTCCATTTTTAGCTATATTTTATTTTCTTTATTCATTTATCTTTCAGTGGGCATTAGGTTGTCTCCACTTATTGGCAATTCTGAATACTGCTGCAACAAATGTATATATGCAAATATCTCTTCAAAATTCCTGGCAGAATTTTTCATGACTAAATGAGTCATAAAGTGCTTTTTATCTCCTAAAATATAATATAAATACTATATGTATTTTACTATTTTCCACGCCTAAGCCTTCCCATTTCAAAATAGTGCTCTTAAACTTTGGTGTTCTCATATTGTAGCCACATTTTCTTCCCAATGTGAATCATCAGGGTTGTCATCAGATTTGACTGTTATCTTCTAGTTCTTTCTATGAGCCTGTCCTGTTCATTCTGAACTTTTTGTCACCATGCCCTCTTTATGTGAAACCCAACCCTAGTGAAGTTGAGCTCACTACCTCCTACCGTGAAGATGAAGACTGCTGGGTACAAGGACACAATCCTACACAGTGGCCTGGCTTCAGATTAGCTGTCAGAAACCTTAAGTGGCCCCCTGGACTGCCAGCAGTCCTTAATGTGAATCCTAATGTCCTTAATCCAGGAATTCTCAAATTCACTCCCAGACCAGTGACATCAACAGTTCAGAAGCTTGTAACAGATGTACACTCTAAACCTCATCCAGACCCAAGTGCCAGGAAATCAGGGATGAGGTCCAACAACCTGTGTGATGCTGGTGCTAAAATTGGAGAGCCACTGCCCTAGTTCATCCTCCTTCAAAAATAGTGTTTCACACCTCCAACCTTCTCAAAGTGCCAGCAACCCTGTTTCCTTCCCCCACCCTCACCTGGTAGTTGCTTTTCATTGCCCAGAGAAAATAGAAGCAGCTCAAAAGGAAACTCCTCTAAATATACAGGGTGCATTACAGGAAATGTATGTATTTTAATATGTATTTTATTCCTTATTTTTGTACTCTTCCAACGAGGAGGGAGATATTGAGGAGTAGTAAAAGAAGATAAAAAACTAGACCTCTCTGGGTGTTATTTGTTTTGCAGTTATGAGTTTGGAAGTACAGGCATATTTGTGTAATTAAAACACCAGACTGTACAAATCTAATTAAACTAAATGAGCCTCATTACATGACAAAATGAAAGTATAACCACATGGAGAAGTTACTGTAGGTGCATTTAAAATAGGATGGGTGGTTCAGCACATAATTTTAGACTTAACAAAAAAAGCTTTATTTGTGCAGTACAGTAATCAAAATCAGGAAGTTTACATTAAAAGAATACCATTATGTATTTGACAGTCCTTCTTATAAATTTCATCAGTTGCCCTAATAGTAGTATTCTTTAGAGCAAAAATAAGAACAAAATCACATTTATTTGTGACATTTCTTTAGTTTCACTGAACCCTTGAATCCAGAGCCATTTTTGAAGAACATAAACCTGCTAATTTCTAGAATGTCTCTTGGGCTTTTCTCCATGGTTAGATTTAATTGCACTCTTTGCCAAGAATACCATAAAAGTGTCACTGGCTTCTCAATGCGTCATATCAGAGACCATGCATTATTGTCTAGTCCCAGTATTAGCAATGTTCTCTGTGCTAGTTTTCTTTTAAGCTTCTCCCTTGAAATATAACTATTCCCCTTTTGTAATTAGTAAGTATGCTGTAGGGAGGTACTTTGAGAATATATAAATATCCTGTCACTCTTCAAACTTTGCCCAACTAGTTAGCATCCTTGGAGTTTCTAACCTGGATAAATTATGTTCATGAAAATCACCAATGGGGATTTTCTGACTCCAACATTATATTTTATTTACTTACTTACTTAAGAAAAGGCATTTCTACCCGGCGTAATGGTGCATGCTTTTAGTCCCAGGACTAGGGAGGCAGAAACAGGCGGATCTCTGAGTTCCATGCCATTGTAAAGTATCTCCTCTCCTTCCCATGTATTTGTTTCCTGATTTATTTGTATTAATACAGACTTACAGCTTCTTACTTTGTTCAGTAGTGACTGAACTTATTTAATATAATTTAATGATAAAAAGAATCACAAAGAAATCATACATAGTTATTAATCTTGCTGCTACTGCTATAGGTATTATTATTTTAAAACCTGTATGTGTAGACCAGTGGTTCTCAACCTTCCTAATGCTGAAACACTTTAATACAGTTCCTCATTGTGGTGGCCCCAACAATAAAATTAGCTGTTGCTACTTCGTAACTGTAACTTTGCTACTGTTATGAATTGTGATGTAAATATCTGATGTGCAGGATATCTGATAGACTATCCCCCCATAGGAGTCATGAGCCACAGGTTGAGAATCTCTGGTACAGACAGAGCAAGTGAATAATTGTGTCACTGTCATTACGCTCCAGAATTACTTGCTAAATCAAAGAAGTCAAAACCTTACAGTCGAAAAAGAGTGAATTTGTAATTCTTCCCCTTTTATAAAGTACACATTTTAAACTTCATCTACTAGAAACAATAATAACTGTATACTTAGGAGCCTCATGTAAATTTAAAATACCTTTTCCCACTAAAAGGAAATGGGGCTCCTTAGAAAAATGACTGGTTTCTGATCTGGGTCAAGAGTAAGACAAGCTTAGGACGACCTCTTGTGCCTGAAAGCAATGAAATTCACAGACTCCTGTAGTCATAGGGAAGGGTTTAAGAGGTGACTTAGAGGGGTTCCCACTAGCCAAAAGTGGGGCAAGTTAATCATCAAAATGAAAAAATACAGCAACTGGTTGAAACGTATCAAATGTAGTAAAGTCTATAAATCTATAATAAAAATTCTTGCAAGTCACCTTCGGAAGTTGCCTAGATATCAACTGTATATTCTGGAAATGGTTCATAGCACCTTTATTCATAATAAATGTCAACAAAACAAGAGGGGTAGAGAGATGACTCCGTGGCTAAGAGCCCTTGTTCGGATACCAGCACCCATAAAGGCTGGCCATGGCCTTCCAAGCCTGTAACTTCAGTGATAAGTGGCAGGGTGGAGTCAGGAGGATCCCTAGGCTTTGCTGGGGTCCATTGTAGCTCCAGGTTTAGTGAGCAACTTGGTCTCAAAGGTGTAAGGTGAAAAGTGATCGAGCATGACACCCGATACTTCCTCTGGCCTCCATGTCTACAGGCATGTGTACTTGCACACACATGTGCATGTACCATGCAAACACACATGGACAGACACACACACACACACACAAGAAAAACAGGAAGCAGTCAAAATGTCTATCCATAGGAGAGTGGAAAAATATGGAATATAGTAATAAAAAGAAATGATTTCCTGATCACAAGAAAATGGCTCAATCTTGGAAATATGCTGAAAGGAACCTTGCACAAAATAACGCGTTTTATGCTTTCATGTATATGAAGTCCTAACACTGGCAAAGCAAGCCCCTGCTGGAAAACTCACAGAACTGTGTGCAATGGCAGCAGAGAGTGAATGGGAAATGGATAAGGAAGTTTCTGGACTGGTGGGACTGTCCTGATAGGTCTCTGGGTTCCAAAGATTTTCTTCATCCAAACTCTCTGGGAGTATCTTTTGATGTGTACATTCTATGCTATGTAAATTTTCCTTTAGTATTTTTACAGACACTAAGTTTTTAGGATCCGAAAGTATGAATCTATGGAATGAGGCTGTTAACATCTGTAATTGGAGACACCTTTAAATGAACAGTTGATAGTAAATCTCATGATGGGTCAGGCAAATAACACCTGAACCTACAGCTGAATCCTGTAACTAAAGCAGGGCAACCAGACATGCTCTTACTGATGAGATATAGCAATTAAACCACATGAAGTATCCGTACATAAAACTGAAATTGAACCTGACTCTAATCCAGATTCTAGATCTAACTATGAATCTCCATGAAATGCAGCAAAGTACAAAGCATAATAGAT